AGCGAAACTCTGTCTCAAAAAAAAAAAAAAAAAAAAAAAAAAAAACCAACTTTGATAGGGCATAATTTATATATAAATAAATACATTTGTTTTAAATGTACCCAATGAGCTTAAGTCATTGACCACCATAATCAGGGTCAAGAACATTCCCATTACTGCACGAAGTTCCTTCGAATTTCTTTGGTCATAATTAAACACATTTATATTTCTACACTGATATATACGAATACTGACATTAAACAGTATAAATGAAGAAAATTAATACCTATCTTAATACTGTATGCCATACTGGGCCAGATTTTTCTGCCATAAGCTTCCAGAAAACTTTTAAAAACATTTGGCTTTTGAAATTGTTGATAAGAAACTGTAGGCATGTTTTAAAAAACAGTTATATGTTAATGAAAAGGATATAAAAGTGATAATGATTCTTACATATACATGTTATTTGCTTGTATTAGAGACATCCTGGACTTACAACAAATGAACTCATAAAACAATTTTTGAATAATCTTTGAAAGCTAATTTATTTTAAGAAAATTTATTAACTAATGTATAGTTTTTACCTAATAGTATACTTGCCATATAATAGGTACTTAGTAATACGTTTTGTTTTGCTTTCTGATAATTCTACCTGTTGGAATTAGATGCTCAGTGCTGCAAAGAAAAATTAGCACTGAGACAAAGGATCTTTCACCAATGTAATTTTTACTTCCTGGACTGCAATAAGGGTACCCTTGCTAGTCATTGTGCCATGAGAGTACCCTTCCTGCAGTCCAGGAAGTAAAAATCACATTGCTGAAATATCCTTTGTCTCAGTGCTAATTTTTCTTTGCGGCACTGAGCATCTATTTCCAACAAATTGGAGACCCAGATGGGACTCATTCCTCTCCAGAGTGGTCTCCAGCCAATATCCACCTGGTACAAGGAATAAATCAACCTGATCTCTCAGCAAGGCAGGAAAAGAAAGGTTTCAAGCTTTGGTCAAAATTCTAAAGGTTAAGTATGTGTGAGTGTGCATGCGAGAGGGCAGTGTGAGTGGTTCCTCTCTGCAAGATCTGTAATCATTTCACATGGACAGAGAAAGCAAAGCAAAAGTAGAGAGGAGTGAGAGAGACCTCCGAAAGCGTGGTGGTGGGGAATAGTTAGAATACTCCCCAGGAAAAAGAAAGGCAAAAGGTGGCCAAAACAGATCAGGAGGATCCCCAGTAAAGGCCCCTGAGGTGGCCACAGTGGTGCCTCTGGCTGAGTCAGCTGTCCATTGGGGTGGGGCCCAGGTAGGCGGAGGTCACAGGTGCATAGGGGCCAGGCCTCTCTAAGTGCCTGCTGTGCCAGGGCTGAGAGTGGGGAAACAGCAGCACAAGTGGCACCAGAAGTGGCAAGTGGCCTGCACACATATGGCAGCAGCAGAGGTCACCGGCAAGGGCCCTGGCCAGGGGCTCTGCAGAGGTGGCAGCAGCAGCAACAGCAAGATGGTCTGAGGTCACCTGCCAGAAACTTTGCAGGGCAGACAGGTGTGAAGACCAGCAACACAATCAGTGGCTACAGCAACCCACTCTGCCCAGCAATATGTTAAAAAGGGTTGTGGTTTGTTGGAAAATGGTAAGAGAAAGTGTGTGTGAAAGAGAGAGACAGGAAGTAAAATTAAGGAAAGAAATAGTGTAAAGAGAAAGAAAGAGAAGCTTTTTCTTTTAGAAACTCAGGCAGAACAACTAAGCCAAAACATGTATAAAAAGTTTAAAAAGGAAAATTATAAAGTAAAAGAGGAGGGAATTGTGGGAAGTAGAAAAGTTTGTTTTTAAAGTCCCATCTGGGTCTCCAAGTTGTTGGAAGTAGATGCTCAGTGCCGCAAAGAAAAATTAGCACTGAGACAAAGGATTTTTCAGCAATGCAATTTTTACTTCCCGGACTGCAGGAAGGATACCCTCACTAGCCACGGTGCCACCAGAGTACAATGAACGAAGGACAACACACAGATTTATCCTTTACACGTTTAAGGTTATCCTTACTGCTGAGTCTGATCTCCGTTGGTTGGGGCCAGATCCCTCACAGTCTAAACTAAAACCTGATTGGCTAATAATTTAAAATTTTTCTATACAGGTAAAAGCAATGGGGAGCTGCAACATGCCTGTGAGCATGTCCAGCACAGATATTTTGGTTAAAGTACAAGGACATGGAATGTACTACATGCCTGTAAGCATGGCATGTCTAACAGCTACATAAGATAGGGCTTAACAAAGAGTTATTAGCACACATATGATTTATTCTTTAACAAGAAAGGAAACTTTTCTTTTTTAAAGATGGGGTTTCATCATGTTGGTCAGGCTGGTCTCGAACTCCCGACCTCAGGTGATCCGCCCACCTTGGCCTCCAAAGTGCTTGGATTACAGGCGTGAGCCACCGCGCCTGGCCAAGAAAGGAAACTTTTAAAAGGAACTTTTCTACTTCCCACATACCCAGCTCATACCTCTAAATTCCTGTTTGTTCATTTAAGAAGCTCTAACTTTTTCTACTTGTGTATTGTCTGGCAAATAATCTAGGACTGTGCTCTTTAATAATATTGTCATTAGCCACATACAATTATTTAAATTAAAATTAATGGGAATTAAAATAAAAAAGCCATTTCCTTAGCCACTCTAGCCACATGTAGCTTGATAGCCACATGTTGCTCACGGCTACTATATCAGATGTGAATATTCTTAAGTAAATCTGACATATAAACTTTTTCCTAAAATTATCCTTGCTTATATCTGTTTGTTTTTAAGAAAGAAAAAGAAAATTAACTTACTTTGGAAGTGATCTCAGCCAGTTCCCAGAGAATAGCTGGAAGGGTCTAACTTCATTTTGGAGATAAACAGATGATGATTAAGTAACTTGCCCAAGGTCACAAACCTATAGTAGGGTGGAGTTGAGATTAGTCTCCAGATGGCCTAAGGTAACTCCATACTCCCTTGGATTACACCATGCTGTCTCTCAATTTTTACAAGTTCAAGCTCTCAGATGGTTTCTATTTGCTTGTTTGTTTTGTTTCTTTTTTAGTCACTTTGTAGGATTTTGGGCTATGGCAACAGCTGCTACAGTGATGCTTCTTGCTTGCCAGTTCGCTGGGATGGCTGGCCATGTAAATGATGGTTCATTATCCTGTTGGCACGGTTTTGTGCTCCTAACATCTTTGCCATATGGTCATATTTTCCCATTGGAAAACTTGACTAGTTTGTAAACTTCTTTCCTCAAGAGCAGAGACCATGACTCCTGCTTCTTTGAACATTTATTTTGGGCTGAGGAGAGTACATCCAAGAGCAAGAGCTTGATGAACATAATGGGAATTCAGGTCCCTCCACTCATACTTCTGTCTAGCTCGCAATAATGTTCCTGTATTAGCTTCTATTGCTACTGTAACATAAATTTAGTAGCTTGGAACAATCCAAATATAGTATCTTCCAGTTCTGGAGGGCAGGAGTCTGAAATGCCTCTGACTGAGCTAAAAGCAAGGGGTCATTAGGCCTGCATTTTCTTCTAGAGGCTCTATGGGAGAATTTGTGTTCTTGCCTTTCCCAACTTCTGGAGGCACACCAGTCTTTGCCTTTCCCTCTTCCAACCCATAAATGGTAAAATGAGTCTCACATCATATCACTCTGACACTCTGCTTCCATCATGTCACCTTCTCTGACTCTGACATCCTTCTCAAAGTACACAGTGATTACATTGAATTTACCAGATAACCCAGGACAATATTATAATAAAGTCTACTCATTAACATCCTTAATTTCATCTATAGCTTTAATTTGCTATTGCTATATAACATATTCATAGATCTGAGGATATGGGTGTGGACATCTTGGGAATCTATTCTGCTCACTATAGTTCCTTTCATCATTTGGTAGTATTTTCCTTACATGTGTCTCCACTATCCAAGTGTGACCTTTTTGAGCATAATGTTCTAACCTACCTGTTTTATACACATCCATCCTAACATGGTTCCTACACCATAGATTATATAAAATACATGTTTTATGTAAAAGTGGAAGCAAAGGCCAGGCACAGTGGCTCATGCCTGTAATCCCAGCAATTTGGGAGGCCAAGGCATGCAGATCACCTGAGGACAAGAGTTCGAGACCAACCTGACCAACATGGTAAAACCCCGACTATACTAAAAATACAGAATTACCTGGGCATGGTGGTGCATATCTGTAATCCCAGCTACTTGGGAGGCTGAGGCAGAAGAATCACTTGAACCTGGGAGGCAGAGGTTGCAGTGAGCTGAGATCCCACTATTGTACTCCAGACTGGACAACAAGAGCAAAACTCTAACTCAAAAACAAAGAAAAGGAAAAAGAAAAAAAAAAGTGAAAGCATAAATATGCTGCTTAAAATATGTCTTATCTGAAAACAGAAATATACTTTACATATAAACATCTTTCTATTTATTCAACAAACATCTTGAGTTCTTATCATATACCAAGATCTGTTCTAGGCTCTTGGAGGAAACAACAGAAATCCTTGAATTTAGATCAAGGATTTGTTTTTCACCAGTGGTTGGTGAAAAACAACAAGTAATTTATAGAATAATAGCATATTTATGGTTATGTAAGTAGGTAGTATATGCTATAAAAATGGGGTATAGAAAAAAATGAGCACATGTCCCCACAAAAATTTGCAAATGAAAGGTCCTAACTTTATTGTTTCTAATGCCTAGAAAGTGGAAACAATTCAAAGGTTCACCAACTAGTGAATGAATACACAAAAATGAGCTATATACATATGATGGTATACTCTTCAGCAATTAAAAAAAATAATAATACTGACGCATGCTATAATGTGAATGAAACACAAAAGCATCATGCTAAGTAAAAGAAACCACACAAAATCATGTGCATTTTAACACTTGATTTATATTAAATGTCCAAAAAAGCAAATTTATACAGATGGAAAATAAATTAGTAGTTGCCTAGGGATGAGCAGGGGACAGGAAAATAACTGTAAAGGGGCATACACTTTCTTTGTAAGGTTATTAAAATGTTTTAAAATTAGATTGTGTTTATGGCTGTACAACTCTGAAAATACACTAAAAATCATTTTATTGTGCACTTAGATAATTTTTTGTCATTTAATTATACTGTACCACCTTGTTAACTAAAAATAAAAAAATTGAGGAAAGAAAATGTGGCAAGGGAAGGGTGATCAGGAGCATTTTCTGGGTGCAGGTGTAACTTCATTATCGTTGTCAGATTTAACCTCACTAAGAAGGAATAAGTGATCAAAGTGTTGCTATCTGAGGAATATGGATTCCAACCTGAAACAAAACCCTATGAAATGTTTCTGAGGCTGGAGGGTATGTGGTAAGTTGCAAGAACACCAAGAAAGCTAAAGGGAGCTAAGCAGAATTAGTTGAGTAGATGAAGATGTGTTAGAGAGAGAAAGGATGGGACACAGAGTGAGCAGGGCCTTGTAAGCCACTGTAAGGGATTTGACATCAACTTGAACGAAATGAGAGAAAATGGAAGATTTTGAGATTAGGATTGATCTGGATTCACTTACACTTTTATAGTATCTTTGTGAGTTCTCCATGAAGTAATAATTGGAAGAAGATAAGGGAGAAAATAGGGGAAGCAAAGAGATAAGGTGTGAGTTATTCTGTAATCCTGATAAGAGAATTTAGGTGTTGGATCCAGGGAAGTAGGAGTGGATGTAGTTAGAGGTAATCTGAATTTCTCTTGTGTGCATGTGCATTTTATTGCTAAAGAATAATATTTTTAGCTTTATAGAAAGAACATGATATCAATATCTTTTCATATTAGCAGTTGGATATAATTTTGCCAGCCTGCTATAGACCTTCAGGCCATGAGTTGTCTGGCACTGGGTGATTTCCTTACCTTAGTTTGTACTTGGTTCTATAAAATAGCAATGATGAATACTTAGGAGCCACTATAGTGATGAAAAGTGAAATAGATGTAAAAACATAAAATACAACTTTGATAAAATGTAATATATTTAGATAATTCGTTAATTTAACTATTAGGTTCATGGGACTATCTGAAGAAAAAAAAAGGACAAAACTTTCAGATTTTAAATAAAAATTACCTGAATTCTTATCTAAGCATATATATATATACATATATATATATATATATATACACACACATACACATACACACACATATATACACATACATATATATATTATATAATTATATATGTATATATATATATAATTCTGTTAATGAGGTCTTACAACTCACGTCCTAATTAGCTTCTAAAATGTCCTATCTCCTAATACTAACATTTCAAGAAATGAGATTTCAATATATGAATTTTGTGAAGACACAAATATTCACATTGTAGCATCAGGATATTATTAGTAGGGTGTCTCAAATGAGAAATTTTTACTCACTTCCCAGAATGCATTTTTAAAATTAAACATAATGTTGGCATTTAAAGTTTGAAAAACTTCAGCAGGACCAACTTTATTTTTCAAATAATTCTAAAACAATTTGAATTTTGACTAAATATGAACCACTCCCTAACCTTTCTAAAGATTTTCTCCATAGCAAATTATGAAATAGATGTCATTCCTAAAATTTAAAATAATTTTAGAATATAAATATGTTCAGCTATTTTAAGTGAAAACCAAATATATATATATATATATATATAATTTTTGTGTGCTCTTACTAGTTTTGCCTAACATGGGGTCATGAAATTTTTCTACTAGGTTTTCTCCTACTCATTTTTAGTTTTAACTTTTACATTTAGGTTGATAATTCATTTCAAACAATTAAAATTTATTAAAACAATTTTTTTTTTCTCTGAGGTTGATATGGCTTGGCTTTGTGTCTCTACCCAAATCTCACGTTGAATTGTAACTTTCTTTCAATGTTGGTAGAAGGAGCCGGTATGAGGTCTGATTATTTAAAAGTGTGTGGCACTTCCCCCTTTTCTCTCTCTCTCTCTCTCTCCCTCTCTCTCTCTCCTATCACGATGCGGAGATGTGCTTGCTTCCCCTTCAGCTTCCACCATAATTGTAAGTTTTCTGAGACCTTCCCAGCCATGCTTTCTGTGAATAAATAAAACTTCTTTTCTTTATAAATGACTCAGTCTCAAAGAGTTCTTTACAGCAATCTGAGAATGGACTAATACAGAAGTAGATAACACATTGCCCATGCAACACCGTTTGAAAAGACTATTTGTGTTCACTCATTATTATAAAGATTTATGTATATATAATCGTGTGTACTATTTATGGACTCCCTTGTCTTCCGTTAATGTACACATCTATCTTCACATCAATACCACACTGTCTTGATGGTTTCAGCATTATGGTATGTCTTGAAATCAAGCATGGATGTGCCTCAATTTGGATTTCTTTTTTCAAAGTTATTTTCGTTAGTCTAAGTTACGCATTTAATACAAATTTCAGAATCATCTGGTCAATTTTGCAAAAAAACCTGGAGTTTTGTCTGGGAATTTATTAAAGCTATAGATCACTCTGAAGGCAATTGACATCTTAAAATATTTGGTATTGTGCTACAATATCTTAGTATATCCCTCTATATATTTAGGCTTTAATATTTTCCAGAAATGATTTGATGTTTTCAGCATCCAGTCTTGCATGTAGTTTGTTAAACTTATCTATAAGTATTTTATGATTTTAATGCCATAGAAGACGGTGTTTGATGCTATTGTAAATAGCATCAGCTCTTTTTTTCTATTTCTGCTTCTTCATGATACTTCATTATCATCTAGAAAAAACTGTTTTTCTTAAAGAAGTATGGCTCTTATATATTGAAGCCTTGTTAGGTACATATTGTAGTTCTGATAGGATTTTTGTAGTTTCCTTAATATTTGTTGCATAAACAATTCTGTCATCTATAAACTTTTTTAAATGTTTACATTTTCTCCAATCTCTGTATGTATTTTATTTATTTTTGCAATGGCTGGAACATCTAGTAAAATTTTGAAGATAAGTGGTTGATCGTGGGGTACAAGTATCCTATATTCTTCATCTATT